ACAACAGCCATTCTGAGTGAGAAGCAGTTGGCAATTGCAGTCACTAACATGCTCAGTAGGTAAAATGATTACTCGGGAGCATGTTTTACAAGGTACAGCATTAACGTAAATCTGATCTGGAATAACTTAATATTTGCTGCTTACCCTCAAGTATGTTTTATTTTTTGATAACGCTTTAGATTACAGCCCGGAAAGTACTGTGTAATTAAAGCGATTTTACAGTGTAACTTTCGGTAATTATAGTGTACCTATAAAGTACTTGCATGGAAGTATAAGGGAACAATATGTAACGTTTTGGGAATAAAGGGGTAACAACCATACTGTAGGTATTTTAGAACTAAGGGGTTCTGATTCTACTATTATGATACAACAATCCTACATTTGGGAGCAATTTAGCAAGAACATACACTGCGTACCTTTTTGTAATAATGGTGTACCAATACATATTGTATAGGCTTTTTTTAAATTACAGGGTACATATATGTGTTTTTATACAGTGATCTTTTTAACAAAAGTGCACTGAAAACTAAAACTATTGCAACTTTTGCTTAAATATTGGGGAAAGATACTCTTGTTTCATGTAGTGGTGCTTGTTAACCTCTTGTTTCATGTAGTTACAGGGTAAGTGTGACATTTGCGGGCTGTAAAATAAAGTGATGCTTGTTACACTCTTGTTCCATGTAGTTACAGGGTAAGTACAATAAAAATACAAACACACAATCTTATATCACTGACTCTGAAACCTTTATTTGAAAAACAAGTTAATTCAAAACAGATTTACAACACTTCTTTTTCGTTTAAAACTGCTTTTTTTAATCAACAATTCATTTCAAATGCTAAAGTCTTGACAGAAAGTAGCACATTTTGTCCCCCCTTTTTTCTCTTGCTTGGGTTCTTCCTTTTTTTCCTCTTCTTCTTTTTCTTTCTTTCCACTGATGAATCTGAAGAAGAATCATGTCTCTTGCTATTCTGTATTATGTAGTAAAAGAAAATGCAGTACACCCAGAGATGCGTCCTCACCATTTACTCATCTTTTACTCTCATGCCATCTGAGATGTATATGCCTTTCCCTCTTCAGATTAACACAAATTAAGGTTTTGAGAAAAATAAATCATCTCTGAGAATACATTTAATGCAAGCTCATGTGTTCCTAAAAGTTGGAGCATCAAACAGCTCATACTGCAATAACTGTAGTAATCCATACAATAAGTGTTTTGTAAGTAAAATTACAATATTTTAAACTTTAAGACTATTTCTTCAGACCAACTGTAATAAGTTGTTTTTCAAATAAAGGTTTCCGAGTCAGTGATATTAGATTGTGTGCATGTATTTTTATTGTACTTACCCTGTAACTACATGGAACAAGAGTATATTTCCCATTATTTAAAAAAAATTGTAATAGTTTTAGCTTTACTTGCCTTGAAACATGTAAGCCTGCATTTACACTGGCACAACAAATCTGATCTTTTACTCACATCTGACACAGATCGGAATTGGTTGCCCACATGTAAACACATAAATCCGCATGAGATCCGATTTTTTCGCATCCGATCTGAGCCACTTCCAAATGTGGTTTTAAATCAGATCCAATATCTGGACATCAGACCTGCGTCTAAACACGCATATCTGATTCCCCTTTGAAGTCCAAGCCACCACAAGGCGAGGACGACACGTTTATTCACAAATATACACTCAAAAAAATGATATGTTGGCTTTACTTAACTTTATGTAAACAGGTTCCACCGGTTCCACATAACTATGTTTCGTTAAACAAACATAATATGTTCATGTAACTTCAACATCATGGAATTTGGTCATTTTAAGCGACCCAATTTAACTCTGAGCTAATGAGTTAATTAGGTGAATAATTGAGTGATGATTGAGCATTATTGAAGACACCTAAGAACCAAAGAAAAGGAGGAAAAAGGGGGAAAGAGAAAAAAAAGAACAGAACAGAAAAAAACTAAAACAAAGGGGCAATCAAACTTGACTTATGTCCTGTCAGGTCACAACCAGACTAGGTGAGCTTGGTCTGGAGGTGCCTGTTATGGTGCTCCATCTTACTCTGCGGAGGAAGACTCAGCGAAACAGAGGCGTAACTGTTGGGGCTGGGTGTCGTTGACGGTGAGGGGTCTATGTCGGGGAGGTCTGTTGGTTGTGCTCACCGGCAATGGTAGAATGGCTCCCAGGCCCAGAGAATAGTGTATATTCACAATAATTTTATTTACTGATCTAAAAGTATTATTATAATTACTATTATTATTATTAAAAATACAGTGCTACCACTACTACCACTCCTACTTTTATTTTCATGAATGCTGTTTGTTGCCAAGTACTACCGCCACTATTTTTATCTTTGTTATAATTATTATTAATAGTATGAACACTGCCTCTACATCTACTACAATTCTATTACAATTACTATGAATATCTCAATATTGCTTCTATCTAAATCTCTAAAATATCCCATTGCTTAAAATTACCAATGTACCTGCATACATCACTAGATCGATATATTTATATTTAGCTGTTTTTTTGTTTGTTTTTTTGTTTTTGTTTTGTTTACATTGTGTGTGCTCCATGTACGTCTTTCCTTCTTTTGTATGTGTATATAATTCAATGATCTGTTATCTTGTATAAACTACAATGTTTTTGTTAACTTGCAATAATAATAAAAATAAAAAAAATAAAAAAAGAAGACACCTGATGTTAACAAGCAGAATCTCTGAAGGAGAAAACCGGAATGTTTAAGTCACCATTATGGAGATAAGTGTGTGTTTTAGTTGGGCTCTTGACCATTAACTTATTAACTTTAGATTTTGTTTGGTTGCTGTACATGAGTTATAACAGCCAGATGAACAATGAACTAAGGAGATCTGATGGTGTTGGTTGTGTTTTAACATAATCATTATTTCATAATCATTTGACCTGAGTCACTGAACTTATATTAAACCGAATTTCTGAGTTAAGTTTACCTTACTGTCATTGTAGAGCATACTATTTTTAGGCTTTTCAATGAAATTCAAATGATCAAATCAAGAAAGAAAAAATAAACTTCTTAAAAAATATGTTGAGTAGGCACACACAGACATCAAGAATCAGCATATGAATCTCAGCAATGGTGACAAACAGATCATAAGCTCATTATTTATTCATGCAGCAATGCATGATGGGAGCCATGAATGAGTTTTGATTGGTGGCACCCAGAATGCACTGCAACATGCTTTATAATTGTCACCATTGTTGAGATTCACAGGCTGATTCTTGATGTCTGTGTGTGCCTACTCAAAATATTTTTTAGGAAGTTTCTTTTTTATTTATTGATTTGCTCATTTGAATTTCATTGAAAAGTCTAAAAATAGTATGCTCTACTACAATGACAGTGCTGCTATTATTCGTAAGGTAAACTTAACTCAGAAATTCGGTTTAATATAAGTTCAGTGACTCAGGTCAAATGATTGTGAAATAATGATTATGTTAAAGACAACCAACACCATCAGATGACCTTTGTTTATTGTTCATCTGGCTGTTATAACTCATGTACAGCAACCAAACAAAATCTTAAGTTAATGGTCAAGAGCCCAACTAAAACACACACTTATCTCCATAATGGTGACTTAAACATTCCGGTTTTCTCCTTCAGAGATTCTGCTTGTTAACATCAGGTGTCTTCAATAATGCTCAATCATCACTCTTTGGATATTGGATATAAATATTCACTTAATTAACTCTTTAGCTCAGAGTTTAATTGGGTCGCTTAAAATGACCAAATTCCATGATGTTGAAGTTACATGAACATATTATGTTTGTTTAACGAAACATAGTTATGTGGAACCGGTGGAACCTGTTTACACAAAAAAGTTAAGTAAAGCCAACATATCATTTTTTTGAGTGTAGCTTTTTAATGTTGTATTATTAGGCAGACGTGCCTGTGTGCTCTCGTTCACAGCTGTTTATTGAGGTGGGAACTTTATTTATCTTTATAAAGAAAATAAATTGCGCAAACACTGAAACATTCAAAAGCTGGTTTTCAACCTCTGCCCGTGATTTTTATAAACAAACAGCTTCACTACTGAAAGCTACATTATATTTCTCTCTCTCTCTCTCTCTCTCTCTCTCTCTCTCTCTCTCTCTCTCTCTCTCTCTCTCTCTCTCTCTCTCTCTCTCTCTCTCTCTCTCTCTCTCTCTCTCTCTCTCTCTCTCTCTCTTTCTCTGGTTAATTCATTCGAATTCATTAAAAATATATATATTGGGTTACTTTGTTTCACTTCAGAATTTTATATCTGAGCTGTAGATAAATAGAAGTTCTCCGGACTATCTGTTCCGTCAGATTTTGCGCTGCAAAACATTCATGACAGCTGTTATCTTGTCCATGCTGGCAAATAATCAAAACCACCGACATGAATTATGTAAATAATTTCAATATCATTGCCATTCAAAACCAGGCTCTACCATGTGGATAGTAAAGCGATCACTGAAATTCATATTGGGCGGGAGTTAATGTAAACACAAATATTGGAAGTCCTGTCTAAAGTGAGTATAAACAGTCGGGCCAACAAATCGGATCTGGTCAAAAGATCGGATCTGTGCATTAAGACTTCATTAACACTTTTGCTATAAAAAAAAACTGTATAAATACACATATATGTACCCTGTAATTTTTAAAAAGCCTATACAGTATGTATTTGGTACACCATTATTACAAAAAGGTACGCTGTGTATGTTCTCGCTAAATTGCTCCCAAATGTAGGATTGTTGTATCATAATAGTAGAATAATAACCCCTTAGTTCTAAAATACTTACAGTATAAAAATGTGTTAATTCTCCTGGTCGTTACCCCTTTATTCCCGAAACTTTACATATTGTTCCCTTATACTTACATGTAAGTACTTTATAGGTACACTATATTTACCGAAAGTTACGCTGTAAATTCGTCTTAATTACGCAGTACTTTCCGGGCTGTAATCTAAAGCGTTACCTATGTTTTTTCTCTCATGCAGACTGAAGACATTGAGGAGATTGCGAAGAAGGCCCAAAGCTTATCCAAAGTGAACAAGAAAAGGCAGAGGATTGTTGTCTTCACCCAAGGCAAAGAAGGAACTGTAATGACCAAAGGTGCGTGGGTCAGTTTTCATCTATTCAGAATTAGTTTTTCTAATCACGCTTTTAGATCGGGACCGTCTCGTGTTAAAAAGAAATAACACAACCCCCAGAAACACTTTTAGTTATTTACAGTTGAAATGATGTTGATAGATTTCCTCTGTAAACATTAGTGAATAGCCTCAAACAAGGTCATCTTAAGAATAGAATGCCGTTCTCTCTGGCGGCTTCCGATGTTGCTCAGTGTGAAATGAATTCGCCCTTGGCAATGACCTCCTATCTCTCAGATACAGAATTTGAATCCAAAGGGCTGTTGCAGTCACATTGCTATGGTAACCGAGTGGTGGGGGATCTTTCTGTGGAGTGGATAAGTTTAACCGTATAGTGGGGAAAGCATAACAGTTGTAGCTGATTAAACCAGCGGGGTTTGAAGTAGAAAGCGGGGAGGCAGCAGGAATGTAAGGGGACAGGCTGAGCTGTTTATGCTCTTCTCCTGCTCTTCATTTCTTCTCCTTTTGCTCCCGCCAGAACGACATTCCTTGTTTTACAGTCCGCCTGTGCCCAGTCTCGGCTAAATTCCATTTGTTCAAGATAATTCGCCTTTTATTGCCTTTTGTATTTTGATTCATTGAATTTCACAGTGTTCTTACAATGAATTCCGTCGAGGTTGGACATTATTTAAATCTCTCGAGGACACAATGAGCAGCCACCCTTGCAACGCACTGGATAACCTGGGGAATAAAAAAGAGGTAAACATGGTAAATGACCTTTGGTGTCTGCCTGGAATCCAAAACCCTCAAGAGTTTTGGCCTAGCTGTTAGCATATATGCATTGGCGAGTTAAGCCTTGGTGCTCATGCAGGAGACACAAGTTTGTCCAGTCTGTGTTCAGTTTTTCCTCCCTCTCAGCCAAATTTGTCAAATCCAGAAGTTAAAACAAAAAATCCTGATATAAACTACGCCATGGACCTTCATTTTTTTATATAAAGGGGCTTTATATATATATATATATATATATATACTTTGCATTTATTTGATAAAAAAATACAGTAAAAACAGTAATATTGTGAAATATTACAATTTAAAGTAGTTGTTTTCTATTTTAATGTATTTTCAAAGTAATTTATTTCTGTGATGACAAAGCTGAATTTTAAGCAGCCATTACTCCAGTCTTCAGTGTCACATGATCCTCCAGAAATCATTCTAATATGCTGATTTGGTGCTCAAAAAACTTCTCCTATTATTATCAACATTGAAAGTTGTGCTGCTTAATATTTTTGTGGAAATTGTAATAATTTTTTTTTATGATTCTTTGATGAATAGAGAAAAGTTCAAAAGAATAGCAATAATTAGATTTTTTTTTTACATTGTAAATGTATTTACATTCATTTTTGTTCAGTTTAATGTGTCCTTTCTAAATAAAAGTATTAATATCTTTTTTTTATTTTTTTATTTAAGAATTGTTTTTATAGTTTTACAATATTAGAACCGTGGTACAGGTGTCTCATGGTAGCACATACAATCATCCATCAACTGGTAGTAAAGGATCAGGTGAAGGGTAATAGCCAAAAAACAAAAACAACAAGAGTGAAGGAACAAAGACATTCAACAGTCATTCTCAAGAAAGTTCCAAAGAGGGGACCAAATACACCAGAAATCATTAGACCTCCTTATCTTCTTCTTCTTTTTTTTTTAAATACAAAAAATAACTGACCCCAAACTTTTGAACGTTAGTTAATTTAATGGGACTGAATAAATAAATGAATCATCTTCTTATTATTATTTTTTCTTTAAAGCATATTTATTTCCTCTGGCAGTGTTTAATTAATGGTTTAATTAGATTTAAACCATGTTCATTTACTCGCCTAAGTTTAATTTTACTCATATTTGCCACTTTGCAATTGTTACTTTTGGACCCTCATTTCAACATTTCTGAAACAGCAAAATGAAATGACAATAATATAGCGTTTTCTTCATTTTCACTTATTTGCTAGTAGTGACGTGTTGCCGACCCCAGAGCTATAAAATAACAAGTTAAGGTTGTTTTTATTTTATTTTATAGGCTTTACTCTAAGTTAACTTGTAACATGACACATGACATCCCAATGACACTGCAGGCCTCTCTGAGTCCCTCTGCCCCTGTTAGCTTATAGGTCTAATCCTATTCACAAGTCTGCACTACAGGATTGAAGTGTTGTTAAACAGAGCTGTCGCCGAGCTCTGTATTATACAATTTACACAACATGTTACCAGAGTAACGTGGCAAAGCTGGCTGTATTGGTTCCACTGCGCTGCGTTTATCACACAAACGCTAATAGCATTAGTCCCCCTGGGCTGATAAGGCTGCTCAGGCAATTGCTACTCCTGTAAAGCCTCATCAGAGGAAAGCGCTACAAGACAATCCTTCCCTTTTGCTACAGAACCGCCTCGCTCCCACTTGTTCCGAGCTAACTTTCAGCCTAAGCGTCGGCTTTGGAGAAAATACTCTCCTGGAGGCGTTTTACACTGCGCTGAGGAAAAAGGTGGGCTCTGCTAACCTCCTGCAGCCCTTTCATAAGGAGCCGCAGGGTCGGCGGCAACCTCTGGCGAACCCTATACGAAACACGCGCCCAATGCTAAGTAAGCGAGGACGCCGCGCAAGAGGTAGTTGGCCATAAAAAATGTCAGCCGTCACACGAGCGGTGAATAAGTGGGTTCAGATAGCAGGGATGACGGAGAAGGCGAGGGACGTTATTGCTCCCCGTTGCCTCCGCCAATAAACATCAATATAAAAGAGAATTGAAGATTTGCTCAACCTCCCAGAGGCTGTGCTCTGATGCCGTCTGATCTCTACATTTCATTTGCAATTTGCTCTCTGTGCAGGGATGTGATCATTCAGCAGGCTCTGAATGTCACAATGAAGTTGTTTTAATGGTGATTAAGGCGGCTGGGATGATAGGCCCTGGGGGCGACGTTCCAAAGAGATGCAGATTTGTTATTGTGTAGTTCCTCTTTGTGCACGCCGGCTTTCTCTCGCGGCGTAAACGCAGGCTGTCCTCGCCCCTCCACATTAATTTTCTTAATGAAAGCTGCCAGAAGAGGAACCCTTAATGAAGCACCTTTGTGACATCGCTGAACAGAGCGCGGCCCTGCTGGCGCACCTATTACAGGCTCGTATTAAGAGCGCAGCGCCCACGGTCTTTGATCTAATGATGGCTGAGTGTGCAGGGTCGCCCAGGGGCTCCGGCAGGGACGACAGCGTCACGGGGAGGAGAGGAGTCTGTGATGTTCTATTAGTACTTTCCCTCCTCTGTGAGTTCACGTATTAAGCTAACTTAATCGTGCCCTTCGTGACTGTTTTTCAAAATAAAACATCCTGTTTAATCCCAAACTACTTTATGTGTAGGAATGTAGCTCAACAAGGGCAGGCTGACAGTTTCAGGCAGAGTCTCTGTGTACTGAATGTTCATGAGTGTTTTGTTTTACTTTAACTTCCTGGAACTGAGGTTCCAGAGAGATAACCTTTGTTGTGTTCCTTTTAATATCGCAAGAAGTGAAACTAACACCACAACACGAGGGGCGTCTTTGCATTTTTGCAGAGAGAGAGAGAGAAAGGCTGCTGCAGTTTTGTGTTTATTTGCAGTTGACTTGTAAGTTCCACTGTTCAGTGATATCTGGACATAGCCATGTCCTTATCTTATCTAAACTGGAATACACTGGGCTTGGTTGTGGTTGTCCCAACTCAAGCACATGATGTGATTTAAGACTCAAAATTCTCCCTCTCTATTTGCACTATCATGTGTTGTCCGAAACCTGCAATTATACTAGCAGACATGGAGAACATCTGACTGCTTTTGCAAATGTACATCTCCAAAGTAGCCCTGATGTTTTGCAGACGCTTTTATAAGTCGGCAAGAAATTAAAATGGACCCCATTTTCTAAATGCGTGTGATAGATGTTGTTATGAACAATTTGTCCATGCATTCTTTTTTATTTTTAATCAAAATGTCAAACTTTTCTGTCTAGTGACATATACAAGACTTTGGTTCACTTAACCCCTCAGCCTCAACTTTCTTTCAATCGACTGCAAGCTCACATGTAGATCTGCCTCCATCCAATCAACAACTCATGGATTGAACCAAGTTGCCGCCCTTTTTTTTCTTCAATAATCCGTTTCACTCGGATTTATGTCACAATTTGAAAGAAATGATCTTTCGCTTTTTCCAGTTCATTGACTTTAAGAATAAGAGAAATAAATTGCCTTTACGTCAGTTGCGGATAATTCTGAAGTTTCTCCATGTAATCCGTTTTGTTTTTGTCATCCTACTAAAGAGTAACATTTTCATTCCTGCTCCTGGAGAGGTGCTGCTCGTCTTGAAACTTCTTCGGGAGGAATGTGTCTAATGCGCTGTCAGATTTACCTGCACATAATGAACTCCCCAGAGGAGCCTTTTCGTTTCAGTCTATTTTCCTCCATCTCCATGAGCCCTTAGCAAAGGTCATTATGCACTCATAAACGCACACACTCTTCGTGAGAATGAGTGAATGTGTGTGAGTGTGTGTTCATACTCTCCTTCACATTTTTCATGTGTTATGTTAGGGCTATTATTCTAGAAAGTTTGCAGTTCTTGTTTGTGTCTCATTAATGCAATGCACCTTCAACACAGCTGAGCTAAAACAGAAACGCTGTAAACAGTTAGTGGCTGCTTGTTTTGATGGGCTTAAAAAGCAAAAGAACACTTAAGAGACGTAGCATTGACTGACTACATAAACGGCCCCTGTAATGCCTTTAATGACACAATGTGGCCTGAACTTTCCTGTTTAGACACCATAGTTTGGTTGTTTACTCCACATCAGAGTAGAAATATAAAAAGGTAGCTTAATTGTGCGATTAATTCTCACAATCAGGATTTCATATCTCAGTTGTGACTTTATATCTCACAACTGCAATATTATTTTTCATTGAGACTATTGCTCACTACCTCGTTATTGACATCTCACAATGTGACTTTAGCATTTGTTGACTGTTGCTCATAA